CCCCCCCCTCCTCCTCCTCCTCCTTTCCTCCCTTTTAACACTGATGAGGTCACCTGGGTGAGTCATGAAATGTCTGCAAGGAAACCACCAAACTCAGAGAGCACCAAGGACCCTTCAGTAGTCCTCCTCCTCCTCCTTGCCACAAACACCCCTCCCTTCCAGCACTGATGATATTACCTAGTTAGGTGATGAAACATCGTCGGAAGAAAGCCACCGAGCTCAAAGACCACCAAGAACCCCCACAGTCCAACCCTGAGCAAGAAGTATTCTCCTCTATTAATTCCTTTTTAAAATGTCCCACTCCTATAAGAACCTGGAAAAAAAAACCCTGCCCTTGTCACGATAGGAAAATTCAGTAGCATCTTTCTCCTCCTGGGGCCTGGCACACCATTTCAAGATGTCAGACGGCCTGTTTAAAATGCTGGATGCTTCAGAAAGAAGGAACTTATATCATTTGTAGACAGCAGCATTTGCTGGGAGGGGGCAAAAGAGCCTTTCATAGGAGCCCCCCCCTTCAGATAATCCTATTTGCAGAGCTGAGGTTGGGCAGGGGGGGTTAAACATTCCTCCGCACATTCCCCTCTCACTTTATTATATTGTTCCATCTGCTTATTTGATGCGGTCTCTGGAAAGCACCCAGGATCGATTGCAGTCTTTAGCCAAACAAACCATAGGAAATGATTGGCGAAAGTGACAGGTCTAGATTTTTATTGGAGAATTACCTGTCAGGAAGGGACTTGCTTTCCTTTGAAATTTTTTTCCAGTCTAAATTTATACCGCCACAGAAGACCCAATTAAGACATTCTGTGGGTTTTGCTTTTTGCTTTTGAAGTACTAATAAAGAACTACGCAACTAAAACACGGGTGTATCTGTTTTCCCAAATTCATAATCATTGGGTTAGATCAAAAGAACCAGGAGACAATTTAATTCTAAAAAGTTGCAACAGCGAAAGGAAGAACAAACTCAAACCCAGTCCAAGTTCTATTTAAAGTTTGCGAAATGATGAGATGGGTTTTCTGAGTATTTTGGTCTTTCAAACATTCCTGTGGGGATTTGGCTCTTGCGTTTCTCCTGCCATGCCAATCACTTGGTTAGGTAGGTATCCAAAAATACAGTTTCTTAAAAGAATACAGGGAAGTCCTCGACTTACAACCACAAGAGGGGAACCAGCATTTCCATTGTTAAGCCAGGTGCTTGTCACACGAGTCGTTCCCGGTTTACAACATTTTTTTTTTGCCACCGTTGTTAAGGGAATCGTGGTAGTTGTTAATTGAATCATGCAGTCGTTAAGCGAGTCCGGTTTCCGGCATTGAAGCCCCCTGGGAAGGTCACAAATGGTGAGCAACCATCGTGATTACATGTTGGTTGCTAAGTGCCCAAATTTTGAATATGTGGGGATGCTGCAATGGTTGTGTTGGAAGGAAAATCCATCTGGTGGCATTCAGCAGGTTCTGACCAGTTCTGGAGACCCGGTAGCAGAAATTTTGAGTAGTTTGGAGAACCGGCAATTACCACCTCTGACTGGCCCCTTCCCCATCTCTCCTCTGCCTCCTGAGTCCCAGCTGATCGGCTGGGTTGTCTTTGGTTGCCCTGCACAGGACAACGGAGCTGGAAAGCAGGTTAGTGGGGTGAGGATGGAATGGGGATTTTGCAGTATCCTTCCCTTGCCATTCCCACCAAACCAAACCCACCAAGCCATGCCCACAGAACCGGTAGTAAAAAAATTTGAATCACACCATTGATCTGGTTTAGGTCCAAGCCAGGAATAAAATAAAATGGAGGCTGATTGGAAAAAACGTTTAACGATGAACAGAACCAACCAGCAGTTCTGGGTCAGCTGAACAAATGGTTGAATGAGTGGATGGATCTTTATAGGATTCTGTGAGTTTGAAGTGTGAACTGTTCTGGAGGGATGGTGCCATGTAGAGAGCGCTGCGTCTTCTGCTAAATGGTAGCGGGTTAATCCTATTATGTCCTAAAGGTTTGTGTCCTGTTCTTTGAATTTGGTTGGAGGAGAATGTAAATTTGAATCCCTTGAAGTTCTTTTGTTTTGCAAATAGCCTGACCCAGTGGTGGGATTCAAAATTTTTTACTATTGGGTCTGTGGGCATGGCTTGGTGGGTGTGGCAGGGCAAGGATCCTGCAAAATCCCCATTCCGTCCCCACCCCACTAACCTGCTTTCCAGCTCCGTTCTCCTGTGCAGGGCAACAAAAGAAGACCCAGCTGATCAGCTGGGACTCAATGGGAGGCAGAGAATAAATGGGGACGGGGCCAGTCAGAGGTGGGATTTGTCGGTTCTCTGAACTACTCAAAATTTCCGCTACTGGTTCTCCAGAACTGGTCAGAACCTGCTGGATACCACCTCTGGGCTGACCCAATCTTTCTTAATGGGCACAAAATATCTGCTGGGGGCTATTAAGAACGACTGAATTTGCCTTCTGTCTTGAAGAGCATGTCTCCGTTTCTCTTTTAGGGAAATATAATATTCTGCCTCCTGGTATTTCTCCCAAATATTTCATTCTTTGGAGGGGAGCTTCCCACAGTCTTAAACGCGAGCAGAGGCCATAAATCCTTTCTTTTGATGCTTTTTGCAACTTTGAAAGGTCGGTAAATGAATGGGTTGCAATTCGAGGATTAACTCTAACCCTTTTAATTTTTTTCCCCCAATTTAATTTTTATAATAACTGGAAATGCAGCTGATTCTCTTTGTTTTTTTCCACAGATATCTGTTCCTGGAAACTTGGCATCTTCCGTTTTGCCTGGTTTGAAAGAAAATACCGAATATAAAATATCCATCCGGGCATACTACAAGGACGGAGCCCAGAGTGATACCATTTCCATTTGGCACAGAATCTGTAAGTGAGCAAGGGAGATACAGCGCTTATAATCTGAACAGCTGGGGTTTGGCTTGTTGTTTCAAGTTGTTAGATGCCACAAAACCATGCCGTGAAAATACTCTTGGTAGTCCTCGTGTTATGGCTACAATGGATCTGCCTATTACGGTTGTAAACTATAATTTTTGTAAAAAAAATTTCCAAGGTTTTTTTTTTTTTTTGCAGTGGTCATTACATGAACAGGGCAGTTGTAAAATGAACACCGCTGTCATTAAGTGAACACGGTGGTCATTAAGCGAACCCATTGTTAATTCTGCTGTGGTTTTGCCCAAAGGCAGAAGTAAATACCAGTTTGGGGCAGAAATGTTATAAATCATGGGTATGTGACCGTGGGATGTGGCAAATGGCTGTAAATGCAGCCATGTTGAAAAAGCATGAAGTGCAGTCATGTGAACACCTGGATGGGCAGAGCAACCATTGAAACTGGGTGGTAAGTCTCCTTTCTCAGGTAGATTGTAACTTCAAATAGTTGCTAAGCAACCGGTCATAAGTTGGGGACTATCTGTATCAAAATGAAAGTCATAGGTAGTTCTTGACTTATGACCACAACTGAGCCCAAAATTTCTGTTACTAAACAATACAGTTGCTCGGGGAATGAAACCCAGAGTCCAAGTTTCATTTTTTCCCCAAACCCAAGCACAAAGTCCAGAAGCGGTTTCCAAGAAGAAAGAAAGTTGGATATATTCTTTTCTTCGATTAAAGCCATCCATCTTAGCCATCTCTGCTACTTCCATCAATTTTTCCAGCCATTCATCCTTTTTGGGCATAAAACATTATTGTTGCTGTCAACCTACAGAACAGCAAAGATCCAGAATAATAGCACAATCTTCTCTCTGCCTTGTCTCATACAAAACAGAATCCAGGTGGAGTTATTTTTTTTAGGGTTTTTTCTTTTGCTTTTCACTTTAACAGAATAACAAAATATCAGAGATCAAAGGGGCCTTGGATTTCTTCTAGTTCAATTACCTGTTCAAGCAGGAAGTCCTATACTATTTCAGACAAATTATTGTCCAATCTCTTCTTAAAAACTTCCAGTGTTGAAACACTCACAGCTTCTGGAGTCAAGCTGTTCCACTGGTTTATTGTCCTCACTGTCGAGAGATTTCTCCTTAGTTCTAAGTCACTTCTCTCCTTGGCTAGTTTCCACCCATTGATTCTTGTCCTGTCTTCAGGTGCTTTGGAGAATAGCCTGATCCCCTCTTCTTTGTGGAAACAAACATTGGAAAACTGCTATCATGTCTCCCCTAGTCCTTCTTTTCATTAGACTAGACATACCTACTTCCTGCAACTGTTCTTTATATGTTTTAGCCTCCAGGCCCTTAATCATCATCGTTATTCTTCTCTGCATTCTTTCTAGAGTCTCCACATCTTTTTTATATCATGGAGACCAAAACGGGATTATTGCAGTACACCAAGTGTGGCCTTACCAATGCATTATAGGATGGTATTAACATTTTACATGATCTTACTTCTATCCCCAACTTAGCTGGCATTTCATCTTCTTTAATGGGTCCTTCATCCTAAGGTCATCTACATTCTTTTACAGCTGTCAGGAAATCGGACTTGATGATATCTCTGGGCTTCTCCAACCCTTATACATTCCTATGGTTCATTCTGTGAATCTATGGGAATTCTCTTCGGCTTACATATGCTGCAGATGCAACTCCGGTTTAAAAGCTGCTTTAATTTACTGTGCCGTTAATCCCGAGAAAAGCAATTTCTCTGCATTTCTTCCACACTGTGTTGGGACCAAAGTATTGTTCCTCTAGAGTGCTCAAGAGCCAAAGATACATCTGAGAGATTGTTATGTAGGGTACGAAGTTATTGATAGCTACTAAAGGAGAATATTTGTACCTCTGGGTTGAAATGAGGGGTCCTTGGTGTTCTCTGAGCTTGGTTGTTTCCCCTTGCAGATGTTTCATTACCCAACTAGGGAACATCATCAGTATTAATAAGGAGTGAGGTTTGATCTCAGTTTATATTCTAGTAGCTTGCCCTTGGGGTAGTCTTAGAGGTTCTTTGGTTGGTCTGTTTACTATTGGCTTCTTTGGCAGTTCCTTGATTGGGGGTATTGTTTACTTGATTGTTGATCTTAGGTTAATCTTGGAGTTAATCTATTTATTTTTATTTTATTTATTTATTTGATTTTTCAATCGCTTACAAGGAATAAGCTTAAACACGAGTAAGAATACAGGAAATAGGTATGGATAAATGGGGACAATAGGACAGGGACAGTAGGCACGATTGGAATGGGGTGAGGTCAATAGTGGATAGTTTAAGGTTAAAGGAGTGGGGGTTAGAGGATGTAACAACAGAGTCAGGTAGTGCATTCCAGGCATTGACCACTCTGTTGCTGAAGTCGTACTTTCTGCAATCAAGTTTGGAGCAGTTTACATTGAGTTTGTATCTCTTGTGTGATCTTGTATTGTTGCGGTTGAAGCTGAAGTAGTCATTGACTGGTAAGGACATGGTAGCAGATAATTTTGTGTACTACGCTTAAGGGCTGATTACAGGTAGGGAGGTGTTTTGGTCTTTTTGGTTTGTTGACCAAAACAATACTATACTTTTGCATAGTATTGTTTATGTCTGTGTGTCATTTGATGGCTAATTTATCAGAGTACCAGACTTTCAGAAATTCCCTAGAATTTTTGGACTTGGCTTGGTTTAGGATGGTCACAGTTTCCCAGCTGACACTATGATTCAATCTGTCCGTATGATGTGATATTAAAGAGTCTTCCTCATGTCTTTTGATCATATCTTTCGTTGGTGTTCATGGACGTGTTCTGTCAGTCTGCTGCCTCTTTTACAACCTTTCGTGCCACAGTTGTTAAGTGAATCACTGCGATCGTTAAATTAGTAACATGGTTGAATCTGGCTTCCCCGTTGACTTCGCTTGTCAGACGTACGCAAAAGGGGATCACGTGACCCTGGGACAATGCAGCCATAAGTACATGCCAGTTGCGAAGCATCCAAATTGTAATAAGTTGGAATGCTGCCACGTTCCTAATTATGAAAAATCAATCTAAGTCACTTTTTTCAGTGCCGTTATAACTTCGAATGGTTGTAAGTGTCAGGATTCCAGCAATCGCTCTAATTAAATCATGATTCTTGAGCCAAACTTCAAAAACTTTCAAAGGATTCATTAGAGGTGACATACTGGCACTGCCCTGTATGAAGCCAACTCTGACATATGTCATTTACAGTCCCCTGTGACCCTGTTTCCCCCCTCCTTCCTGGGTGTCTCATCAACCAGATTCTCCAATTGAGACCATTCACAGGCTGGGTGTCACCATTCACGTTCTCCAATTAAATATATTCTC